GAGGTGTCGACGAATCCAAGAATGGGAAAAAATGCCGGTATTCACTTATTTAAGAGGAAAATCTTCCTCTTCTTCCCGCGAAGCAACCCGCGTACAATGCGAGCGTCGAAGAATACTGTGGCGCTGAAAAATAGTTCATGTAAAGTTCCCCTTGTGCTTCTGACGCCGCCCATAGCGAATCAGCCCGTTCTTTTGGATGCCCTGCGCCAACGGCGCAAACAGATCCAGCTTGTTTACGGTTGCGGCGCATCGGCCAAGATATTGTGCGCCGCCCAAACGGTATTCCATGGGGCCGGCCTGTTTTCCCAATTGTCTCGGGAGGCGGGGGTCCAAGTCGTTTTCCACGACCGCTGCTGCCGTGTGCGCCAGGGCCCCTCTTTTTATGGAATGCGCGGCCATTTTGTATGGGTGAAGAATGGTTTCTATTGCTGTTGTTGTGATGGCGGTTGGCTGTTCGCTTTCCCCCGTGGCCTTTATGACTGCGCACGCCCTGTTGGCGCCCCCCCCCCTGATCGCCACATATCTTTCTGCCCTGCGCAGGCCGCTTTTGAAGGCCTTCGGCAGGGCCCCCAATTGGCAATAGTGGCGTTCTGGTTTCGCGAGTGCGGGGCGAAGCTTTCCTTTTGTGGCTGTGCGATTTTCCCCTTCTGCTGGCTGCGGCAAAAGCGGGCCGTAATGCTGCAGTGCCCCGCTTGGGTGGAAGCGGCTCTGTGATGGGGCGGGACCCCCGCCGAGGCATGGGACCAGCCTGTTTGATGGGATCGCCGGCCGTCGGCTTAGAAAGGCCGGGAAAAAACATTCGCGCCGGCGCGCTCTGCCGCCAGCAGGAAAATTAGACCCCCCATGTGCTCTATAGCACTGCCTTTTGCGAGTTGCAAGCTGGCAATAAAAAGGGGAAGCGTTTCTTCCCCGGCTGTCAATCTATGGTGGGCAGCGACCTCGTAAAACACCTTATGGTAGACGCCTTTCGGTTCCACGCTGAGCGCGTCCACATGCGCTTGGCCATCCTGCTGGCATCCGGCGCCAATCCCACGATGTACGGTTCGTGGGTGGGAGCTTGAATTTGTGGTGACGTTGTTTGCCGGTTTTCCCTTCAGGGAAAAGGTCCCCTTGTTTCTTCAAAGCCTCCTTGAAACAACTCCCATGGTTGTGGAATGGCCGAGGGCAACACGCCCAAATGCCATATAACGGCCGGAATTTCCGGGAGACCCCCGTAGAGGGGAAGGGGTGTCAAGGTGATGGCGCCGGGCGTATTTTGACGCGCCGGGGGCCGCAGCCTTGAAGCCGAAGGCCAAAGGGGTCGTTGCGTCCGGGGCCGGGCCTCGTTTTTTGGCGGAGCGCCCGGTCAGGATGTATTCACCCGGGCGCGTCGTGCTATAATAGCCTGCTCGACCGCATTTGTAACAGCACACCTGGCTCGGAGGAAGGGCGTGTCTCTGCCACTTGGCCTTCTGAGCCGCTTGCGGAAAAATGTTGTCCCTTTTGTTGGGTTCATCTGCAGCATTGTAAGCAGATCGAGTCCACACGCCAGGGTGGTCCTTCACTGCCTGGATTGTGTGCAATTGGGTATGCAAGCGTCTGCCAAACTGGAGATGTTCCTCCAAAAAACCGTCCGGACGCACGCCAAAAACCCATGCCACGAAATTACCCCACGCCTCCGAATATGTTGGACCAGGCGTTGTTGGCACAGAAAGGACGTATTGAAACACCAAAATAAGATTTTCAGGCGCTCTATTTTCGATATATTTCATTTCAACTTAGAATGTGCGAATTTCCTTTTCCAGTTTCACCCCTGACGCCCAATTTTTACCACGAGGTTCTTGAAAACTCCGACAAACAACTCCTGCCAAAGGTTGCTGGGCTCTTGTTGTTGGAATCTTTTCCATGCCCAGTCATCAATTCGTTTAGCTTGTGTAGAGGCCTTTCCTTGTTCTTACACGCTTGATTTATCGGAGATTCCGCTTTGGCACGTTTTGTTTTCCCTGTTTTCAGACGTAGCCAATTTTCACCACAACATTTTATTGGTATGGTGGTGGGCCTCCAACTGCGCATCTTGTTGGTTAATAATTTATTGCATCTGTGCCGTCTGCTGTTGCATCCCAAGCAGCTGATTATGGCCTTTTTTTTGCGCCCGAAGAGTTTCATCAGCCAGTTGCGCGCGAGGCTTTGCATATTGTTGATGAAGCGCATATTCTGTGGCCTCTAAAGTTGCCCATTCCGTGGGAAGTCCCGATTCTTCTCCCTTCTAAAGCTCAAAAGAAATCCAAAATTCCTCGGCAGTGTGAAACTTAACAAGGTGTTTCATAACAATGCCCAATCCATTTTGTGTTTCGGATCCACATAAATCATGAGCACCCCACCCCCAAAATGCCAATAGGCCGCGCACATGGTAAACCGCGTGGGGTTTCTGCGCTGGCCGAAAATCAAAGAAAAACAGGGTTGGTCTCTTCTGGCGTATGGGCCATATAAAAGCCTTTCCACCTGCCACCCGCCCACCGTAGGAGAGAGATGGGCGTGTTGTAGAAAGCATACTTCTACCAAACAGAAAAAGTTGCTTTTTTTTCCCTTAAACTTGACCTTTTTTTTTTTT